AGTTGTAGCACTTATTACCGAATGGGGTATAAAGACGACCAATCTGATTATGAAGAAAGTGTATATATCCACGTGTAACATCTGGACCCGAATATCTAGTCCGGAATAATTTTTCAATTGATGAAATAATATATTAAAATAATTTAATTTTTTATTCCATTTTAATTTTGTGAAATTTTTGAGAAAAATAGATTTATGGATGAAATTGAAAATAATTTTGAAAAAAAATGGAAAACTGTGAATAAGAGGGAGTACTTTTGAAAGAAAAATTCAAAACATGAGGTAAAATCGTAAAAAAAAATCTAGTCACGTGGGATAGTTACGTCAGCAGCCACGACGAGTCAGAACGCGCTGCATGACGAATACGCTAACATTGGTTCTATGCAGGAAGCCGCGCGAGTGATCCGCGTGCTTGGGCGATCCAACGATCTAGATTGCATTTCGTGCGCACGAACGGCCTGGATCTGTTTCCTCTCAAACGCGATCAAACGAATGGGATTGATCGTGATGAACGATCCTAATTCGCACACTTGATCGACCTAAACAGGTAACGATCGGATGGTTCTCTTCGCTCCACATCGACTCAAGAAAATGATCTGGATTGAATGAAGATGAGTATTTAAACTTCTCTTTGTAGGGAACCAAAATCCTAGCCGACAGAGGGATGACCGGAGAAGAAGAAGAAGGGTGGCCAGAAAGTGAACCAGATGTCGGAGAAGGAGACCGGCCACCGTCGTCGTCGTACTGGAGCCATCACCGATGCTGAAAAGGTAAGATTTTCTTGTCCTTTGCTCAGAATTTGATATCAAATCTTCCAATGTCCATATCAGAGCCGAAAGGCTGACGGGTGAACCGAAAAATATGAGCGAAGCTCGATCGAGCTGCATCGGCCAAAATCTAAAACTCCCTCCGATAAGCCCCTTCTCGTTCCCCGTTTCCCATGATTTTTTGACTGTTGTGTTGCTCGTTTCGTTCTGATGCAGGTTAGCCGAAGAAACGCACCGACCGGAAAGGAGGAACGACGAAGTCGCCGTGCCTGAAGATCTTTCTGTCGGTTATGGTTTTTGTTTTCCCCTTTTCCGGCAACAGAGGCCCTTTAACTTAGTTTTTCCATAGGTTTTCATGCAAAATTAGCCAAAATCGACCTAAACCAACCGAAATAGCCAAACCAAAAAATAGTGACAGAGCCAGCGCTGCCTTGTAGGAACCCTAAATTGGTCGAAAAAGTTTAAAAACACATACTTTGGCTTTTTAGAGTATTTTTAAATACGTGACATGTATTTTAATTTTTTCAAAAGAAAATCATGAAATCTAGGGACCGCCAGGAGACACAGTGAAAAGTACGGTATTTCGAACACTGATCCGGGGTAAGAATCTCTCACCATTTTTTTGTTATGGTAAATTAAAGTTTAATAATCAATAACATTATGTTTTGCGAAAATTATAAAACTCTAAAATTAATTACAGATCACTAGTGGAGTCGAAACCGGTCAGTGTATAATTGTCATAGCTTGTTTGTTTATTTTATCCTATATTGCCTAAAATGCTTACTGTTATATCACATGTTTTAAATTATTGATTTTAATTGCTTTCTTGATTATTTAGTTTATCTACCTGTGTTTTCCTCATCTGTTGATTTGTTTATAAATAAATGTCATAATCATATTTTCTTAATTTACGTATTGTCTATTTGTGTGACTTACTGTTGATTGATAAAAATGTGATGTTGGTATGTGATTTAGTGATTAGTTGATGATGAAAATCTATGTATGAAAGACTTATCGGGTGCCTTGGAGAAAGGTGTACGGACCCGTTACATAGAAAAAACGCTACCGTGGGCATTACCTCAGTCGAACGGGGTTGAAATGTCCCATATCGAAAGGGGTTGGGTGGTATAATTTACTCTCATACCGGACA